ATCTCCACTGACCGGAATTGTAATACAAACCAATCCAGCCTCCGTACAAGGCAAGCTTGTCAGTCTCCTCTTGGCTTCTGATGGTGACCAAGTCACTATAGTGTGTTCTGCAGTACTTCTGAGCACTGGACCAGGTAAGTGGATGAGAGATGTAGACAATCTGTGAAATGTTTATGGGATGATTTGCTGCACACGGAGGCGCAGAGAGGTCCAAGAAGACAAGGAGGATGATCAGAAAGCTTGGGAAGTTTCTCTTCATGTTGTCTTCAAAAAGGCTTCAAAGTAGAGAGTAAGTCACTTGTCAGGTATTACAGCACAATGCAGTATTTACATGTCTGTTACTTACAACACAACTGTACAAAACACAAATTATGCAGCAAGCTATCGAACCATCCATACATTCATTCATATAGTTCCACTGAGCAAGATGTCTGGCAACTGTCGGCCACAGTCAATCAAACTATATTAAAGGTTTAAATTCCACAGAAATCTTGTGTGAGTAATCATAAGAGAATAGAACTATGACAGCAGCAGGTGCCAAGTCAAACATAGAGCATAGATCTTCTGGTAAGCAATAGCTGAGGATGAACTGTGTGCTATAAGAGATGGAATCCCTCTCATTATATTTGTCCATGAACATACGTTTCTCAGTATCCTTTATTAGCACAGGCCAAGATGAAAAGCTGGTAAGGTTCACAACCAACAACCAAGTCTGATTCTATTCTAACACTCACCATGAGTGATGGCACCAACAATGGGAGCTCAGCGTGGTCGATATCTGTTGAAAAGAGAAGGGATGCTCCTTTTTCAGAGATAGAGCTGATAAAAGGCTGTGTATCATGAGAGACTTTGCTGAAAAAGTTCTCCCCAGGTCACACATCACAGCGCTGATGCACCTGATTTCCGCCAGAACTGACCAATCAGAGCACTGCGAGAAAACGACTTGGATCCCAACAGTCTAAGTCGTTCACCTGGGCGTCTACTACACACAAATTAAATCTTTGATTGTGTTTATCCTCAGCAGTCAAATATCTTCATTGATGCAAAGCAGAGCGAGACCAGGGAGTATTCTTGTGATCACAGTTCTAATCAACAAACAAATATAAGCATCTTACTGAATTTGCCTTTTACATTTACCTGTTGATTTGCACATTATTTTGCAAGAAGCATAAACCCAGACTGACATGCTGAGATTTGATTAAATTAATTGGTCGAAATAACAAATTGTTTTATGACTACTGGACACATGACCATGGTTAGTACCATTTTGGCTGCATTTTGCATGTGGTTGCAAAAACTGGACCTGATGGTAAAGTGATGTTTGTGTTCTTATTAAGAAAGCCACAAATTCTTGGGGGTTAGGTTAAAAGGGGAAGGCTGACTGATCAACACACCACAGAGACCCTCTGCCAGGGTTCAGGTGTTTAGCGTATTGATAGAGCAAAACTAGACTTCAAGATGAAAATTGTACATTTATCTAATCTCTAGTGGGCTTCAGCAGTACATGTACATCAAGTTCAAAGTACTTCTACTGCAAGTAGTCTGGTGGATGTCCCCCACTACATGGATAGAATGAAAAGCAGTTGGCAAAGATCAGAAATTGGTCTTGTTGTCAGGGTTGCAAGTTGAAGCTGAGCAACAGTGATCTGGATGAGAACTGTCAGAAGGCACTGCTGGGATTTGAACCCAGGATCTCCTGTTTACTAGACAGGCGCTTTGACCAACTAAGCCACAGTGCCTGCATAGAGTTTACAGTTAAAAGCTATAACTCTGGTGAGACTTCTGGGATCACGTAGTAGTAATAACAGTCTAAGGTGTATCAGACTGTTAGCTTTGTAATTGTGAGCATGCTGACATGACATGACAATAGCACTTAGCTCAAAGCTTCACACACTGGTAGGTCTAGAAATGAAATATTGGCAGCATTTTCAATTTAATTCAGTTGAATTCAAAACACTTTATTTGTCCCGGAGGAGCAATTCCAGGCCCTGAAGTAGACTGACTGCAGCAACAACAGCAACTTTAGGGCTGTTCATGTTTTATCTAAGCACAAAACCCCTTGGATGGTTCAGAAATAAAGTCATAATGTTCCTGGGTGAGCTCAAACATCCAGCCTTCAAGTTAAAAGCCAAAGTGTTGACTGATCAACACGCAACAGAGACAATTTTATCAGGAATCAAGTGGTTAATAAATTGATGGAGCCAAACTAGACTACAAGAAGAAAAATTATGTAGTAATATATCTGACCCCGAGTTGGCTTCAGCCATAAGCAGCCTACTCTGTGGTGTGCACAAGTCAAACTGAGTTCTTCCGCAAGCAGTCTGGTAGATGCCCTTGACAACATGGACAGAAAAGCAGTTGGCAAAGGTCAAAACTTGACATGCCTGCATTAAACCGGAAGGTACTGCTGGGATTTGAACCCAGGATCTCCTGTTTACTAGAAAGGCGCTTTGACCAACTAAGCCACAGCACCTGGACATCAACCACACCTAAAATCTATTACTCTGACGACTTCTAAATATCAAAAAGTCAAAGCTGATCTGCATGTTAGTGCTGTCATTGTGAGCATGCTGACATTACCATTTAGCTCAAAGCTTCACAGAGTCTTGTTCTAATGCAGGTAACATTAAGGCCACAGATACTGGTCGGTTCAGGAAAGAAATATTTTGCATTAACAAATCCAGGTCCTGAAGCAGATGACTGAAGGAACAACAGAAACTTCAAGGTTGTTTATGTTTTATCAAGGCACAAAATCCTTGGATGGTTCTTAAATAAGGTCAGAAGTTTCTGGGTGCACTTGAACCTCCAGTCTTAAAACTCAAGGTGCTGACCGATCACCGAAACACAGAGGCCTTTCTACCAGGGTTCAAGTGGTTAACAAACGGATGGACCCAAATTAGACTCAGTCTTCAATGGTATGTCTTTCTGATGCCTTAGATTACCTTATCTCTGGTGGTCTTCAGCAGCTCATATACATCAAGTGCACAGTACTTCTACTGCATGTAGTTTGGTGGGTGTAAAGCAGGCAGCAAAGATCAGAAACTGGTCTCACTGGGAAGCTTACATATTGAAGACCAACAGCAGGAGTTTGGACAAGAATGGTCAGAAGGCACCGCTGGGATTTGAACCCAGGATCTCCTGTTTACGAGACAGGTGCTTTGACCAGCTAAGCCACGGTGCCTGCTCAAAGAGCACAGGTAAAAGATATTAATTTTACCTTTTACTTTTTTATATTACTTTGGTGACTGAATATGCCGGTATAATTTGGGTTTTAATGGCATTATTTGGACATGTATACAGCATATTCTGAAAATATGTCTCAACTGGGCTATTTCCCGTCATATGCGACACATTGCCTCTCGTCTGTTTATGGTTGACTCTGCACATTGTCATGGATATGTCATACACAAATCAACCTGACAATATGCAAAGCTGGTGTAGAAGTGCATGCCTAAGAGAAAATCCCAGATTTCTGGTCTTAAGGAGAAACATACCTGCTTTCAAACATTATGAAAGACTGGGATATCAGCAGGTTTTTGAGTATATCCAAATACTGCAACACTGTACCATTACTGTAACAATTTCATTATACATAACGAAAGTCCATGACTTTTCCAGGGCGTTAAATGATTTTTACTAATTCCATGATTTTTTTCAAGTTTTCCATGACCCCGTCAATACTAGGAGTGTAAAGTCATCCGGCGGCTGGATTGGAACTTTTGCCAGGCTGGTGTTGGTTTGTGGGCTGTAAGTTGGACACCCTTGGCAGGTAACCCAAAGACCACAGATACTGGATTCAGTCAATATTTACTACGAAATATTTCTGGCATTTCAAGCAAATCCAGGCGAAGTAGTTCGACAACAGGAACAACTGTGACTTTCTAGTTTCCCAGCTTTATCAAAGCACAAAAAAACCTTTGGAAAGTGTAGAAATAAAGTCAAGTGAGCTCAACCTGCTTTTTTACTAGGGTAAAAGAAACTTTTTTACTAGGGTTCAATTTGTGATAAATTAACGTGCAGAGAGCAACAGCAAATCAAAAAAACTTTGCAAGTCGTCTGGTGGATATAAGGCAGATTCCACTTGATAGGTAGAAGCAAAGGTCAGAAACTGGTCTCAGTGCTTTAGGGATCAAGTTTGTCTGTTGACATCCAACTGCAGGTTGACCTCCTGATTATAAGACAGGTGCTTTGACTAACTAAGCCACAGTGCCTGCACGTAGCTCATGTGTAAAAAAAATGGCTTGAGAAATTATTTATCCGTCTCAAACTTCACCAGAATTGCTCTGTTATCTTCAGATCTTGACAACTTATTTTATTGTTTGGTTTGAAAATTCATCAAAATGTGAGCCCCCACACAAAAGTGTGATTGTGTCTGAAATTTGATATTTTGTATAATAATAATACTAATAATAGATATCATAATATAAAGTAATGTGCAATCAAATATACACAATGCCTCAAGCAACTAGACACTTTGACACGGAATATAATTATTAATAAATATTTTGGGCATGAATGTTTCCTTTTTCCAGACCTGTCAATAGTATCAAAAAGATGTCAGCTCAGTAGTGGATGAATAAAGTTTTGCTAATGGAGGTGGTATATTGTGAGAATTTTAAAACTACTTTTTTGAAAAACAGTGATTGTGAGTGCTAATCATTTTAGATTTGACTTCTAAACATTAATTCTGTAAATGTTAAAAACTGAATCATATTTTTCCCCTTTATGACTTAACTGCGTCAGAAACACTTATTCATTAATTCAGTCATTCATTATCTGTCACTGCTTATCCTCTTAAGGGTCAAGGGGTGGGGGCTGGAGCTCATCCCACTTGACAGTGGGCAAGAGGCAGGGTACACTCTGGACAGGACCAAAAACAAACAAAACAAAACAAAAAAAAAAACAGGTCACCTTATTGTGATGCCTCGGCATTGAGTGTTTGGTGAAAATACAGTTACTTTTTGCTTCATCTCTAAAAACAACAAGAAATCACAAATGCATTGTGTTAAAACGGTGGCTTTCACATTTATTACACAGTAATACCGCTTTATTTTAGCATCACTTTTTTAAGACACATACAAACAGATGATGGTAATGAACCGCACATGCTACACAAAGTAGTTGCTATTCATGGCAAAAACTCAGGTATCTAATCTATTTGCTCATCAACTGTCCAATTTAAGTCCAGCCCATGCCAGGGCGCACTGATTGCCACTGCGCAAGTGATCACCGCTCCATTTCCCCTCTCCAGCGCATGTTGCTGAATTCTCCGCTAAACCCCTATACTCATTCTCCCAGTGAAGCCACAGCAGGTCTGGCCCGTATGCACTGCAGCAGGTAGCATGTTGTCATAGTTTTAGGAGGTGATGGACACCATATTGTTAGGACTCAGAATCTCAATCCAGTAACCATCAGGGTCCTGAATGAAGGCCAAGCCTTTCATTTTACCTGAGAAGAAAATAAGAGAGGGGAAAGAAAAAGAATTGTTAACAGTGTATGAATAAACATAAAAACTTTAGACCACAAGTGTGTTCTAATCATGGTGCACTAATCATATGACTGAGGAAAAATGTATTTTATATGTATATAGCAGTGAGCAGACACCTTCTGTTATGTGATGATGGAAATTTATAGTCATAATATACATAAAATAATCTTTTGTCACTTACATAGAAGGTGCAGAAGTACAAATACTTATGACTATCTGTTAGTTTGGGGTTAACAGACATCTGCAAGCAGCTAATGCCTTCCTTTAATACTCTTGGGGTGAAGTAGATGACACTGAAGCTGAGCAGTGTAGAAATGAACAACAGTCTTGGTAGATTTATTATAACATTAAACATTACCTCATCACTATTATATTTAAGCACTTACTGCCCATTTCCCCACTTTTAATAAGCAGTGACAATACAAATCATCGTCTTTTGGAAATTGTATAGCAGAGAATTTGAATCAAGGATTTTCTTTCTTGAATAGACTGTTTCAACCCCAATTTCATTTTTAATTAGTTTCCATTTTGAGTGTAAAAGCCAGCTAAAAAAGGGAAGTGGAGAAGTAAATGTGAAAAGGTGAAAGAAAATATATTTAAAAAAGGCTTTTGAGCCTGTTAAGTTTTATCTGTTTAACCTGTCTGTGACTCTCATATTTGCAAAGACTTCACATCCTACCATCATCTGGCTTCTTGACAAATGTGACTCCTTGTTCTTCAAACAGTTTGCAGGCTGCATAGACATCAGGTACTGCAATTCCAATGTGTCCTGTCAAATGCCAGGCAGACAAACAGGGACTGTTCATAATAAGTTTACATAGGTACACAGTTTGCTTTAGAGAGCTGATACATACACATATGTACATGCAGGCATTTTCAAACAGTAGCAAACAAGAAGAAATATATCCTTAAAAATGTGATGCATGATAGTCAAAAGCAAACTTATGCATTAGGAAGGAATAAATGATGAAGTTTTGAGACACTGTTCCTTGTATGCCATTAAACATGATTTTCTTTTGAGAAAACAAAGCCTTGAACTTGTAAATCTTACTTTCAAAGACGCTTAACATTTTTCTATTAATTGTTTTGGTCATTTCTGTCTGTTTGTGAAACAGGGGAGCGATCTTACCAAAGCCACGTGGATCTGAGTTTCCATTGTGATAAGACTGGCTCTCATCAGATTCAGAGCCCCAGTTACTGAAAGACAGGAGAAGAAATACAAGAGGTTAGAGAGGAAATGAGAAGAAAGAGAAAGGACAGAAAGGTACATATCGTAGACCCTACTGTGTCAGCTCAATGGTGGCTCTTCTGGAAAAGGTCCAAGCCGTCTTTTCATTCACATCTGCAGGAATTTCCTTCTTGTCCTCGTAGCCCAAGAAGAAGAGAGAGAATCGCATGGAGGGGAAGTCAAACTTTTGCAGGAGCCTGGAAGATTTCGCACACAAGAGAGAAAACCCCACTCTAGTCATAAAGTCCAGTTTATGTATTGGAGACATTCTCAACAACACAGAGCCAAAAAAAGCTCCAGTAGTGTTTAGGGTTCATTGTGTCACTTTTTGAGCATTATTTGTTTCAAACAGAAATTAAGATTCACGCAACTGAAGCCCACAATAATACTCACGTCATGCCGAGGATTCTGGTGTAAAAATCCAAGGATTTAACTGGATCTTTGACCCGCAGCATAGTCTGCTGCATCATGAAATCCTAAGACACAGAAACACAGTAACACATTTAACACCTTAAGTCAAGTGATCAGCAGCACTATAAATCAATTAGATATCTTCTGGTAACATTTTTTCCTTCTCGATACTGATTCCGATACGTGAACTTGAATATCAGCCACCAGTACAATCCATTATTGCGTTAAATAGGGGGGTACAGAATAATTTTATAACTCAAGACAGCTCACTTTCAACAGGTCAGATAGTAATATTCATGTGGATGATGATGAAGAGGAGGAGGATGTGGACCGCACACAGTATGTTGAGGACAGAGGAGGAGGACAGAATTGGGGGACTGAGTTGTTGGGGACAGAGTTGTCTCATCTTTAAGCCGGCATTGGAGTAACTTACAGAACCGAAGCAATGTCTTTATAAACAAAACTTCCAGCAGGACAGGTTTATAAGTGGCACGAGTGTAACGTTTTAAGAATGCGTTATGTGCGCAACCCACCGTGGGAGATTCAAAAAATAGCTGGAAGCAGTTAGCAGCTAACTCAGAGAAAAAGAACAGAGGGTGAAAATGTCCACAAATTGGGAAAACAATGGTGTCCAGGAGCTCCTTAGCTTCCAAGCAGAGGACGAGATCAGCTGCCATAGAACAGAGACAGTGAATGATTTTTATTGCCATGTTAATGCCATTGTTATTGTTTATAAAGTGCTGTCGACGCATATGTTACGTCACACCCGTCACACCTCTTTTGACTCCGCAATGCCAGCATGCTGTCTAAAATCACACACTGGAGCAGCATGAAACCGGCATTGATGCATTCTGTGTAAAAATGCAAAGGCGGCATGAAGAAGAGACCTTTCAGGAGCCCTAGCGCAATTTCTGGGTAAGGAGTATTGCTGTATGGAATGGCTCTGTTAAACCCTTAGTGAAACATGGAGAAATACATACAGAGAATGAATGCCATAGAATCTTCTTTCAGCAGCAAAGAACAAGAACTGATTTCTAGGAAAAATGCTGTTTAAAAAAATAAATAAATAAATAAAAATAAACTGACGATACTTATGAGCATTAATGCTTAGAAGATTAGCGATGTAAGGTACAGGGATAGTTAAAGTTGTGAAATATGAAGCATGAATTATATACTTGTGTTAGAAAGCTCAGAGAGGCCTTCACAACACATTTGCTGTCATCGGTTGGCTGTGCCTGAATCCCAGCAGAGGAAAATTTGTATCCTGGCACTCACTCGTGAAAAGGGATTTCAGCCAAACTACATCTCTGTGCAACCAAGCACAAATGAATGGTCATCACATCTGTGTGAGCTAAGCATCAGTCAGTGTTACCACACTGTGAGGATCAGGCGTGCTTGGATGAGTTACATTTACTTCCTTGTTTTCCATGCAAAACATGCCATGACAGTCTGCTGTTGTCCTTAAATGTAGGCTATACTGCACCGGGGCCCACTTCACCAAAGGGATTTGCGAGTACCATCTCTATGCATAAGCAAATGGGGACAGCATTGTGTTTCACAAGGGATTACTGCTTGTAAATCGCAGGTAAATTTTAGAGTCCTGCAGGGATCTCTCAGGTCCATGGATGGGTCAGAAGTATAATGTGAATTTCAACAGGTGAAATGTGTTAAGACTAACATGAGAAGAAATTATCTCGGAAACCCCAGCTTGCATTTTGCAAATTTAACGAAACAGGCCCCTGGTTTTCACCCCGATCCTGATATTTTTTATTGTATGAGTGTTGGCGAACCAGACCACTATTCTGTGTGTGTTTCACAGCCATGCGTTATCTCTGTGGTTAGCCACTGTTCCCCCTTCCTGTGCCCTTCCTCCTACCGTGTCAAATTTAACAGTTTTAACAACACATCCATAGAAACTGCCCAAACACAGCAGCAGCATAATCCATTTCTACACTTCATCGATATGTTCCAGCCAGCAGCCTTTTCACCGAAACACTAAATTCATTACTTCTGGTGGAGCTTATAAACTCAAAGAAGGTTGGCAGGATGAAACAGAAGCAGTGCATTTTGCCATATTATGGAAATCTGATTATGTGGTAAACTCTTAGCAAACAAACAGCAGAGAAGTGGATCATGATGCAAGAGGTCTGAAAACTTTCTCTGGACGTTTATTCAGTATTGTAAAGTTGCTTTTATTTTTCATATTCTAGCAAATGTGAACTTTGATCTGTTATTAAACTGGAAACATTCTTGAACGTCTTTAGCATAGCATTTAAAGGGATAGTTCAGATTTTTTGAAGGGGGGTTGCGTGGGGTACTTATCCATAGACAACATGTTACATACAGTCAGTGTCAGTCAGCACGCTCCCAATTTGAAGAAGCAGGCTGGAGGCTGACATGGAAGCTAAGCAAACTACTGCTGTGAGGAAGTCAGCAACAAAACATATCTTAGCCACCTAAAAAAACAAACGAACAAAAAATCTCTATTTGATTCAAGTGCTTTCTTCAAAGCCAGACTCCATTGAGAAAACCAGTAATTTAACATTGCTGAAAACAGGAGCTGCTGGTCTACCCCCACCTCAAAAATGTTTTTGTTTGTGTTATTGTGTGACTTTGGCATTTAAAAAGATTTATTTGGATACACTTAAGTCACACAGTAACACAAACTAACTGATCGAAGCAGCAGTAGACCAGCATTTCCTGTGTTTAGCGAGCTAAAATTACTGTTTTTGTTTACGGAGTCTGGTGACTTTGACGAGATGATGGAAGGGGAACTGACGCCGTTAACAGCTTCCTTGTTGGAACAGGCTGTCTGACAGAAAGGTAATGCAGTGAAAATACTCTCAATATAGCATACACTTAAAATGATAGTGACTGTTTTAGGTGGGACGTTTTTTTAGGTAGCTGAAAAAAGTTTTGCTGCTGACCCCCATTCAAAGCAGTACATTGTAGTGTTGCACGGTATACTGGTACCAACATTAGACCGCGGTACTAAAACACCACGGACGGTACATATGATACCATAATGTTGGAGTACCGTAGTTCCACGGTACCTCACGGTACCACTACTGTGGGATAAGTTCAAAGTCAGATCGCAAGAGGGTGACTGTCCATGCGTCCATAATTTCCTCTTCGTTGGTGTCATGACAGCCCAGTAGTACCTGAACAGCTGAGCCGTGGCGGCACACAGGTATGTGACTCGTCAGAGGAGAAACTAGCCGTTCACATTTCTCTTTGTGGCAGGTAACGGTCCACAAACCTCACCGCACTTAAGGGACTGTTCTTAACTTATCAGAGGAGGAGGGTGGCTGGTTGATTTTTATTTTATTTTTTTATTTTATTTTGACCCCCCCCCCATGTTAATCACTTATTTGATGCTGTTTTTGAAGTATGAGTAAGTCAATAAGTAATTTATTCCATTGAAATATCATTGATGTATTATAGAAAAGTGATTTATCTTTTTATAAATGACAAAAGGCACATCTGCCTTATTTTTGCTGTGGTATCGTGATACTACTCATAACCGTGATACTTTCACTGGTATCGTACCGTGGGCCCCAATTTTGGTACCATGACAACAGTAGTACATTGCTTAGCTCCCGTGCCACACTCCAGCCTGCTTCTCATAACTTAGGGTGTGCCGACTTACATCTACTATGTGTCATACAATGACTATGGATGAGTATTCCACACAACCCCACTTGAAAAAAAAAAAAAATAAATAAAAATCAAAACTTTCCCTTTAATAGAAGTGAATGACAGCTAAAAGAAATTATTTAAAGCAACTGCTACAAATGAACCTTTGTTTGACTTTTCTGAACAATGGCGTGACCTGTCCCTGGCAAGTATAGATTGATTATATTACTGAGTATTAATTGTATACAATGTATTCTATCTAAATTAACAGAATAAGCTGCATGCAGCACAGTTAGGGGGAGTTGAATAGCTGGCAGTGAGGCCAATAATATCTATTGTCCAAAAAGTTTCTAATGTTCAACTTGTGGCTGCTTTTGTTAGCCAGGTGGTCAGGTTGTCTCCAGCAGCTCGTTCTTGCAACACTGCCCACGTTAGCCATTCCCTGTCCCGCCTGCTTTTCGCCACAGCACGCGAGGTGTTTCTGGTCCGGCCGCGCCTAAATATCAACTTTTCTTGTTAGAACGGACAGTTTTTGCGTTAAAATCTAACTTGCACGCAAGCTGTGATAAATGACATGTCAGCTTTTCCACAAAGTTTGTAATGAGTTTCTTTACACACGAAAAGTTCGCCGGGAGTTGACGTTAGCTAGCTTACAACTGCATGTAAAACCACCACACACTGGCATTTATTAACGTTATTTTAAGTGTGTATGTCATTTCATTACTCGCCATAAGCATTGTTAAACATGTCTGAGATAACCTAACCACTTGTCACCGGGTGGTCAGCGCACATTTTGTGAAGAGCCGTTGCTGTCCGATAATGGACGCAACGCTCATAGCTGGTTAACCTGTCTGGGAGTCGCTGGCCTGTCGGGTTGGCTAACGTTAGGTATGACACTGTCTGGTAGAAGTTTTGTTCAACTTCGAGAGCGACAGTAAACATCTTACCTTAGTAATAGGGTCTCCATCTTTACAAGCTGCTGCCGCTGCATCGTCTGACAGACCTTTGTCGCTCATTTTTGCTAACTGACTGTACGAAGCAGGACCGCAGCTCAGCGGGGCGGACTGACAGGGAGTGGGACACAGCTGAGGGAATTTCAACTGAAACAATTTCCGGTTACAGCTTTCAAAATAAAATTTACTCTGACGAATCTGGATGTAGTGCTTGTGGGACTAGTGAAGGATTTACACTTAAAAAACAAACAAACTAAAAAAACAACAACCTTTACTCATAATTAAGACTGATTTATTATTGCAAATAGATAGAGAGGCCTATACAATCGAATTACATGCTATTAACGCAACTATTCATTCCTGGATTACACTTCATTGGAAAAAAGGATAAAGAAATCGAGGGTGATCATAATAATTTGTAAACCTTAACAATGTACAATGAGAGTGAGTCTGACAAGGCAAATAATATAATTTTTAGGTCAGCATTCAACATCCACCCTCAAACATCCAACCAATTAAGTAGGACTTTTGTCTCATCTTTTGAGCTTTCAAGGACCACCAGCATTTTGTCATATTGGCTCTGCTTCCTCCTGTTTTCAGACCATGTTTTTCAAAGTATCCATTTTGTAGAGTCTTAACAAAAAGCTTGTTTCAGAGGTACTACTGTGCTGTAGATAGTCCACAGACAGGTAGCTTTTAGAGTAGCCTATTTGTAACATTTCAACAGCTTATTAGTTGAGATTCACCAATTCAACAGTTTTACTTCATTTTATAGATGTTTAAATATCTATACAGTATATGACAATTCATGATGAACATACCTACATATTCTCAGAGTAACTTTGTTGAGTTTGAGCTATTAACTCAGCCTGTGCAGCACAAGCCACTGTGGCATAGGTGTTGAATGTCAACTAATAAGCTGTTGAAATGTTACAAATACTTTAATACCCTGAATGTCAGCTCCTCCCCTCAGGCAGACAGTACAGAGTCCCTCTAAGCAGACACAACCAGTTCAACAGCTCCTTCATCCCCCTGTCCATTGATGCCCTCAACACCACCTAGGCTGGAATGTGTCTATACCTGCCTGCTTTTCTGGTCAGCACAGTATGGCTGTAATATGTGTGCCTTCTTCATGATGATGGATGTATTTGTTGCTTTTTAACTGCTGTATTTTACTGTGTTAGATGTATTTATAGTTGTTTTCGCACTGCAGACACAGTTAAGTCCAAGACAAATTCCCCTCTGGTACATTAAAGTCTACCCTACCCTATCTACTTAAAAGATATCTGCAGGTGGACTATCCATATTTTCATTATCATTATCATATTTTATTAGCCGCATAACTGATGAATTGCCTGAGTGTCTGCACTCAGGACAATATTACCCTCACCTTCTCCCTGCATCTGTACTTTGACTCTGTGCACTTGAAGAACTAGTAAACACATCTACACGTGCCAATTATTTTATTTTGAAAACACAAACAGGAAGTGTCCATTTTTATCTATTGACTAGATAAGGCTCAGTATTATGTAACTAAGGAAGCTCGCTGTAGAATGCATAATGCACCATAAATTGTCTTGCATATTACCCTACATATATGTTGTTACCAGTTTAATAGGTAAAACCTGCACAATCTAATGCACCACAACAAACAACACTGTAATAACTCATTTCCTTGTGACGCTCATTATGTTTAATTCAGTATAATACGAAAAAAGTGTTGTACTTTTGGAATAATGTTAATACTGTTTATTGAAAAGTGTATGCTATTCTAATCCGTTGCCTCATCAACATTGTAAATAGCCTTAGCTGTAATTTGATATGCACAATACTGACATTGTCCTCAACACATTAGTCCAGCACAAATAATCAATGACCAGCTCAGCGGGGCATGAACTCCCTAGTTTCACATCAGTCATCTTTATCCAGGATAAAAAAATAACACAGTAGTTTGCCATGGAAATAACTTTATTATAGACAAGTTGGAGACCTCTTTTAACAGGAGAGTAGTGACAGAAGACTACATTACTGATTATTAACCATATACAGTTCCTCACAGCTTTATGGCATGTTGCTCTGGTGGTGCTGAGGAATTAGTATTATTAAGCTGTTAATCATGAGCCAAGTACTGTAACCAGTCATACAGAGAGAGGGGGGCTGATAAAGCTGTGAGAATAACACCCCAAATACAAGCCTGAGTACCTGCAGAGTTCCTGAGACAGTCTGGCTACAAGAGAGGGGGGACTGTTGGCAGGCAGAGAACACTTTTCCCAGACAGCAGTAGATGGTATGCTGCTCAGGATTTTCTTTCAGTGTTTTGTTAACAGTGGTTTTCCAGATTTCAAAGGGCGCAAACCTACTCAATTCATAAGTGCTGAAGCTTAAACAAAAATGAACTTAATCTGATTTTTTCCTTGATGGTGTTAAGTAGGTACTTATAAAAAATAGCAATTCTGAAAGGATAGGAAAAAATTAATGCTTGCCTAGTTTCTGGTGGTACTTCCCATTCTTTACAAACCACTGCTGGACAGCAAGTGCTCTTTTAGCATGGCCTTTAGAGAATAGTCAGCCATGTAGGAGAGAATCAGCATGACAACCATCTCCTCTTATAACGGAATTCTGAGTAAACAGTTTCTCTCACCTCCTCTTTCTTCCTGATGCATGATAACAATGATAACATAAGATAGAAAAAAACAAACAAAAACAACAAAACAAAACAGACAACCCCCCAAAAATTGTTAAATTCTAAATCTCACAGTCCAGTAACCTCCAAACCCTCATTACCCGACACACTCAAGAGATGAGAGGAAAAAGAAATAATGAGACAAAGTAGGAAAGCCCTTTTCTACTATGATGTTCATCCTTGTGATCCAGCCTACAGGTGTTTAGTAGCTACGTCCGAACAGGGTGTAGAACTGTGCAGGCTCCTTGCCGCTGACACACATTTGACCCGGCTGCAGCATCTTCAGGGGGGAGAAGGGGATACAGAGGCTCTTGGCTCCCATGGACGGAGCTCCAGGCTCCAGGTCCTGGTCCCTACAGGAAAACAAAGGACAGGAATGTTTTTTACTGATTGAAATTAGCACATGCAAAGAAAATGAGGTAAAATTGGGCCGGAATAACTAACATTTAAAATTTTGCATTTTCCCAAAACCTGATGTAAACGGCACAAATTATGACAGTGCTTAACAAATAGCCCTGGCTGAAAATGCTGAATATGTGCAGTGTATATTTGATAGATACGTGTTGGACGTACTTGGCAGTGGTTTTCTTGATCCAGTCCTCGCACTCAATTTCTCCACAGAATGGGATCTGGACAATCTATCAAGCAAGATAAATGTATTATCAATGAACCACTCAGGTGAGGCAGGCAATGAAATGTTTTGTGCTGCATGTGGTTTGTGACACTCACCTTGCCCTGGTCCAACTCTTTCTGGAACTGTTCCATTGTGTCCACAGCCACCATGTTACTCTTCAGGTCATCGGACGCTCTGACAAACACACACATAACACACTTCAATCAATCCTCTTGTATGTCTATGGACACCATGTAAGCATCTCTTCATTGTGCATAATTGTATGGATTCTCATTTGTAGCAGGATCTGTCTCACACTCTGTGTACGTCATTTCTGACACAATGTTGCCCCCAGCTGGTTGGGAAACAGGATGATTTTATACCTGCAACAACTGTCTTTTTGTCGACACTGATGCACATGGTGTTAAAATTAAAATCATCTGAGTGAGATTTAGAGCAGGTGTGACAGATAACGCTGCAGTTTTTCATAACAACAACAAAACATGCTTTTTCTGTAGTCAGTTGTACTTCAATGTTGCTGTGTCAAGTTGTGATAAAAAGCCCAGTGCCAGTTTAACCCTGCTGTGTATTGCTGCATCTTACTTTTTATACAGGCTGTTCTGGATGTCCTCCAACATGGCGACAAGTTTCTTCTCCACCTCATCTTCTGGAATTGTTATCTTCGCGCCTGAGTCTCTCCTCACTGCGACACACTGACGCTGCTGCATATCCTTAGGACCCACTTCCAGACGGATAGGAACTCCCTGGACAAGAGAGACAGAAACAATAAAAACAGGAAGAGAAACAGATGCTGTCATAATTATCAGTGCCTCTTCACAACAATCTGGGCTGTTGTGGCTTGTTGACTTGTATCTTTTTTACTGTTTCCTATTGTTGAATTTATGTTTTTAGGTAAAACACTTCAGTAACTACTACTACCACTGCTATCGTCATTATTTCCGACCTTGAGTTCCCAGTGGTTGAACTTCCACCCTGGGGAGTAGTTGTCTCTGAGGTCAGTCTTCACCCTGATGTCAGCACTCAGCAGCCTCCTCAGGTATTTAGAGCACTGGGCCAACAGAGCCTCCTTCTCCTGTTCTGGCAGGGAGGCAGTGATCCCACATGGGATGATGACAACCTGGAAAAAAAGAAGAGAAATTATAACCATATAGGGGTTGTTTACTTTACTAAGGAAGATGTTTTTCATTTATTCATATAAAAATTGGACAAAAAGCAGGTGTCTTCAGCTTAATGAGTGTGCCATTATGCATTTGTTAGTAAAAAAATAATAATAATAAAAAAATAAAAAATCGTCCATCCACAGTATCTACTGTACTTCCATGTCTTTGTGTGAGATTGTGAGTTTGTGTATCTACCTGCAGGCAGGCCACCCTGGGTGGCAGTACGAGTCCCATGTTGTCTCCGTGGACCATGGTGAGGACACCGATGGTCCTGGTTGTGATTCCCCAGGAGTTCTGGAAAGCCAGCTGTTTCTCCCCCGGTCTCTTTGGATCCTCAAACATGATCTCAAACATCTTGGCAAAGTTCTGACCAAGATGGTGAGATGTGGCACCCTGAGGAAGCACAAAGCAATAGAGCATTGTATACTTTGTTCTTAAACATTAACTCTAATCAATCACTGTCTGACTGCATGTGGATTAGGTGTGAAATAATTATCTTTGTGTGTTTCTCCGCAATGAGCTAAGTTTTATCTACTTCCGTGTTGACATGTACAAATTAAACATAATATTCTGCTGGCCTCAGTGTGAGAGGAGGACCAAATGAATCAATCCAGTGTACTACAGTACCTGAATAGCTCGGCCGCTGGCAGAGATG